CTCTACATGCCTCTCTAAAGTGTAAATTTATTAGGGACAGGTGTTGGGGTTCCTCGGCCAGCCTCCACTGGAGTCTCTGATAGGCACACAGTGCTGAGGCCCATGCTGCTCTGCAGTGCATCCCTGCTCCTACAGAGAACTCCTACCTAGTGAGCTGGTGACACTCGGGAAGGAAACTGTGAGTCTCTATACTTTGTCAAGAGTCCCTGGTATCCAGGGATGCTGTAACACTACTAGGGTAACTGTGCCCGGCCCAACTCCAGAGGGCTCTGTTCACACACTGCAATGAACCACATGTGCACATCTCAGACCCTAAGACTTCCCAGATGCCAGATATCTCAACCACTCCCCAAATCTGCAACCACAGCAGCTGAAAGTATTGATGCTCCCCCAAAAAGACTCAAGCAGCTCATCTCTCTCCAACTTTAAAAAATGTATCCAGTTTTATTTGAAAAGGAGAAAGGCCGGTGCTTGGCATACCGGGTAAAGCTACCACCTTTAGTGCTGGCATCCCATAAGGGCACTGGTTCGAGTCCCGGCTGCTCCACTTCCCGATCCAACTCCCTACTAAAGTGCCTGGAAGAGTAGCGGAGGATGGCTCAAGGACTTGGGCCCCCGCACCCACGTGGGAGATCTGGAAGAAACTGCTGACTCCTGGATTCAGCCTGGCTCAGCCCTGGCTGCTATTTGAGGAGTGAATCAGCAGATGGAAGATATTTCTCTCTCTCTCTCTCTCTTTCTCTCTCTCTAAAACTTTGCCTTTCAAATAAGTAAATAAATCTTCCTAGAAAAAAAAAAATACAAGCAGAGATCTTCCATCCACTGGTTCATTCTCCACATGCCTACAACAGTCAGGGCTGGGCCAGCACCAAAGTAGGAGCCAGGAATTCCATCCAGATCTCCCACAAGGGTGGCAGAGACCCAAGAACTTGAACCATCCACTGTTACTTCCCATTAGCGCTAGCAGGAAGCTAGAGTCGGAGGCTGAGCCAGGAGCTGAACCAGGCACTCTGATACAGAATGCAGGTGTACCAAGCTGCATCTTCACTGCTACAACAAACAGGACCTTCTCCTTGGCCCCCATCCCCGATGACATTTGACACCTGCTCCCGAGAGGAGAGGAAGTGTGAATGTTCTCTGTTCTGGTTCATTCCAGTCCAAAATATCAACCTTACCAGGCATTTGTGAGGTGTGAGAAAAATCTGGTCCAGTCTTGACTTCACTGCATACTGGCTATTTGACCCTTGACCTCTGGATCTCTGCTTCCTTCCTCACCTGTAGAATGTGGATAATGATATTCAGCTGGTAGAACTTTTGCGAGAAGTAAATAAAATATGCAAAGAACCTAGCATAATAACCTTGCACACTTTAGAAGAGCAACTGGGTAGATGATAACCCTAGAGCTTCTGTCCAAGGGGCTGAGCCATGGGGTTGGGATCAGCAGCGGGGAAGTTTTGCCTGCATCTTAGACTTCTTATTAAGCTACAAGAATGAATATGTAAGCTACAAGACGGAATATGTATCATGTTCACCTTTAAATCCTCCAGAAAGCCTACCCCTGTACTTGGCACATAGTGTTTTTATCATGGCAGGATCAGCAATTACTAGAACAAAATAGCCATTGCTTTTAAGTCAGGAGACTCCAGTTCCAACAGCATGCGATATGACTTCTTTTGGAGAGACATTGTTGAAATCCTGCTTGTGGTAGGCATGGGAGCTACGGGAGGACAGAAGTTAACAACTCAGACACCGTCTCTGCTTTCATGGAATTCACAGTGTAATGGTGAAGGAAGACTTCGCAAAAATGACCACACCAAAGTTCCTCACAGTTATTCTAAGAACAATGACTGTATATGCAGAGCAGCCTCAGGGTGCTTGAGGAGGTAATGCGGGGAAGACTTCAGAAAGGAGGTACCATTTGAGCAGAGACTGGAAGGGTGAATGAGAGAAGAGTGGGAGGAGGTGCTGCAGGTGCATGTGACCATCAGGATGGACACGACAGAAACACACTGAGGACTACAGGCAGGGAGGCCTGAGATGGTTCAGGACCAGTAGGCAAGAGGCCAGATCATGCAGGGACACTGTGGGTCATCTAAGAGTCATGGGAAGCAGTGGCCTCCCTCAAGGGACCACAGTGGGAGAAAACCAACCCAGGGGCAGGAAATGAGACAGGCCCAGTCTACAGAGAATCGGGGGAAAACAATAAAACTGACTACAGTTTGTCTGCTTTTATTTTCACCCTGCACTGGTAACTAAGCAAGGATGTGCCAGGAGGTGTTTGACAACTGACTAGGGAAAAGAAAAATGGACGCACATACATGTTATACACATATGTGAATTGTAACTTCCTGATGGAAAAGATGTATAGCACATGACTTATAAATAATATGTATCATTATTATAAATTCTTAAGTATTTATTTATTTATTTGAAAGTCGAAGTTACAGTGAAAGAGGGAGAGACAGCGAGAGAGCTCTTCCATATGCTGGTTTATTCCCCAGATGGCTGCAACGACCAGTGCTGGGCCAGATGTAAGCCAGGAGCTTCATCCATGTTCCCCATGTGGGTGGCAGGGGCCCAAGCACTTGAGCCATCCTCTACTGCTTTTCCAAGGCCATTAGCAGGGAACTGGATCAGAAGTAGAGCAGTCAGGACACAGACCAACACCCATATTGGATACCAGCTTTGTAGGCAGCAGCTTAATTCACTACACCACAACTCCAGCCCCAACATTATTAAAAATTCTTTATAACTGATCCTTACAGAATTTTTTTTTTGCCAATGCATGCAATTCAATCGTGATTTGACAAATGGAATTGTATCCCACATTATTCTAATGAATTTATTGTCCTTAAATCTGAGATGTGTGATCTAGTCAACTTTTTCTCACCCTTGTACAAATTCATTAAGTTGAAAATCTTTAGTTTCGATATCAACCACAAATTTTGAAATGTGATCATTAGCGTTCCCCCCTAACTTCCTCAGTCCGGAGATAGTCAACAAATCAAGCCCTGATTCATCAAGTTTGCCAATTTCCATGGTGCAAATATTCTCACCCTGGCCAACTGCTACTACCAAGGTGACATCACCGAGTGTGGGCTGGGACATGCACAGTAGCGTATTATTTTATGTAATAGTAGGAATGGAAGAAAGTGGATAGGCCTGAGAGAGATTTGGAAAGCAGGGTCCTGCAGATGTGTGAGATCCCAGAGATGCAGGCAGAGTCCAGGACAGATGGTGGTGCCCCCCCTACCCCAGGGAGACCTGGAGTTGGAAGCAAGCGGTCCAAAGGTGTATTCAGTTTAGTATGTGTTACGACACATCCCGGTGGAACAGCTGAAGGGGAAATAGCATAGATGGGTTCTGAGCTCAGAGAAGCAAGGGCCAGCGATGTGAATTTGGGATACACGGATTGAAATGTGGCTGTGGACTAAATCATGCAGGGAAAACTGTGGGGTGAACAGAAAAGGTCGAGACCTTAAACACCTGTTGTTTGGAGGCCACCACGAATAGTTAAACCAGCCAAGACGACTGTGGGGAAACAGGAGCCTGGAGGCCTGCTCTCCCCACAGGAGGAATGTGCTTTAAGAAGGAATTTTGCTGATGGGTAACACGAGGAAGGAGAGTGTCCTGGGGGGTGTCACTGGTGACTACAGCAAGGGCAATTTCACTGAAGATGGAAACCAGGAAGAGAAGGGAATACTTGGCGCACCGCACAGTACTTCAACAGTGTGTTACACTGAAGTGACACCTTGACCGTAGGGACGCCATCGTGAGAAAGCATCCCCCACCTGTGCCCATACTCTGAAATAAATATGGTCTAAAACCTAGACAATAACAGTACACCGTATCCCACCTGGCAGAACACAGAAACTCCCCAGCGTGATCACTCAAGGTTAAAACAGATAGGATGCACCTGGGTTAATGTCACGATTGCAATTTGCCTATTGTCAAGACTGTAACTGATATTGGTGTCGGATGGGCCTTAGGTCAGCTTGACCCTAGTAACCATATATCCCCCCTCTCCTCTTTGTGTCTTTTGCCTTTATAAACGCTGTGGCTTTGAGTTTGGGGGTTGAGAGTTCTTTGGGGCATGAGCCTGCTCTCCACCACCGGCAATAAAGGACTGTCAAATTTTATCAGTGTGTGGTGCTTCTCTGTTTGCACTCGCTCAGGCACAACACGCCGGTTTAATAAAAAATTGCGCATCTTGGATTTGCTTCAAAATAATATATACATTTGGTGGATAATCCCCTCCCAAGACCTGCTAAAGATGGACGATGGACACTTGGGGGTTCATTATGCCACTGTGTAGTTGCACTCACTTGATGCCTTCGTGATGGAATGTTCTTGAAAAGCGAAATAGAGTGAATGAAAGAGGAAGAGTGCAAAGGCGAGGCGGGCAGCTCTCAGTGACCAGGGGCAGGCGGGGCGGGTGGGCTCGGAGACCCCGGGGAAAAGGAGCAGCGGGCGTCGGCGCTGGCCGGCGCAGGGTCCCAGGTCCGGCGGAGGACAAGCGGGGAAAGTTCTCCTCTTTCCCTTGAAGCAAGCCGCCGCGACACGCAGTGAGAAGGGGGCCGGCTGCTCCCGGGTGCGCTGAGACACGCCGGCTCTGGGCTCGGGGGTGTGGGGGTGGCCGGAATGGCCTAGGAGGGGAGAGTGCAGAGTGCGGCCGCCCGTCTCCAGCAGGAGGAAGCCTGCATCCTCGCCGTCCTCCAACAAGCGCCAGGGCGCGCCAGCCAGGCCCGCCACCGGCGCCCGAGCCCCGCGGACCGGCTCCCGCAGCCCGCCTTGCCCCTGCCCACCGCGCTCCCGCCGCGACGGTCTACTCCGGCACGGCCGACTTGGCCTGACGTCACCGGAGCGCCCGCCAATGAGCTGAGAGAGACCGCGCTGCGGCGTGAGAGTGACGGGAGCGGCAGCCAATAGCCGGGGGAAAGGGGGGCGGGCCGAGGCGGGTGTGTGAGCCGGGGCAGCGCGCGCGCGTGGGGAGCTGCGGGCGGCGCGGTGCGGCGCGGCGGGGCGGGGACGCGGCGGGGGGCGGTGCGCGGGCGGCCCCTCCCCCTGCCGGCTGCGGGCGGGCGCCGGGAGCCGCCGGAGTTTCGGCGCCCGGGAGGGAGATGCGGCCGCGGCTCGGTGTCCTTGCAGGTAACGCGCGGGGCGGCCCCTGCGGGGCCCAGCGCGCGGCGGGGCGAGCAGAGTTGGTCTCGGAGCGGGCGCAAGCTTCCCGCCGGCCCGGAGAGTTGCCTCCGGGACCCGGGCTGCGGCCGGGGTCGTAGGGGACGTGGGCCCGGCGCCGTGCGCCCGGGTGGAAGCAGCACACGGGACAAAGGGCGTGCGTCCGGGGTTCGGGCTCCTGCGCGACCTCCGCCCGCGAGGCCCCCTCCCCAGCCCCCGCTGGCGCCAGGCGCGCGGCTGCTCCCTCGGCGCGGCCACCTGGCCGCCAGCCGGTCGCGGCGAGGCGGAGGCTGGGCGCAGCCGGGCCGCTTGGCCGCCTGCCCCGGGGAGGCGGCGGCTGCGGGGCGCAGCGAGCGGCCAGAGAGCCGGCGTGGACTCGGCGTGCTGGGAGCCGAGCAGGTGGCGCAGCCCCCGTCGGGCTCCCGGTCCTGTTGGTGTTGTGGCTGCGGGCTGTGCGTGTTGTGTGTTTTCTCTCCTTCCTCGTTAACCACGCACACAAAAGAAGGGCGGAGTTAGAGGAGCGCTCCCGCCGCTGGGAGTCGTCGCGCACTTTGCCCATCCCGGGGAGGAGCGGTCCGGGCACGGTGGGCCGGGGCCGCTCCGGTCCCCGCTCCCTCGGTCGGGCCGCCAGGTGGGCTGAAGCTACGCGGGCTGGCCTCGACGGGGGAAGCCGCCGCGGCTGGCCGGCTGGAAACTTTGCGAGCCGGTGCGACTGCGCGTGCGAGCCCCGCCGGGACGCGGGGAGACGCGAGGGCGGTCGCAGCAGGACCACCACCCCGCCCCCCAGCAGCTATTGACTGCGCACTGCCGAGGGGCCGGTGGAGGGGGCGGCCGGGAGCTGCCAGCTCGGGGTCCCCAGGCACAGGGACGCTGGGTCCGAGAGCTGTGCTGTGACTTCCGCCCCGGCGGTGTGGACGGCAGAGGCCGGGCCTGCCCTTGCGTGCCTATGGAGGAATCGTGTAGGTTTGCGCTCCCGTCCCCTTGACTGCAGCCCTGGCCGCCGTGTTAGCCGCCGCGGGGGTCCCCGTGCTAAAGAGCTCAGTGACATTGGGGTTTTCCGGAAGACCCTGTTTGAGATCTTTATGGCCCTTTCGTAGATGATGGATGTATTTGTTCGAACCCCTTGCATACAGAGGCTTGAAACTGCTGAAGGTGGGACCTCAGATTTGTTAGGATTTCAACCACTGTGGGCGGGGGTGGGCGAGGGCGTTAATTCCAACGTGGGAGTGAGACAGCGGTCAGTGCAGTACTGGCACTTTTATGCATAGGTCCAGGTGGACTGTCATTGGACTGAAGCCAAGGACTCCTGGAGTCTCCCTTCTTGTCCTGGTGAAGGGGACCTTAGCATGTGGCCCTGGCTCTCAGGCAGGACACCCGCTAGGGGCGAGTTACGAGGGCAATGCAGCTCCAGGCCCCTCCTGTCCCTTGGCCTGGGCAGAGAATGGTTGCCCGGCTCCGCCCATCGAGTGGGCGGGGCTGCGTCTACCTGAGTGCCCAGCCTGGGTCATGGCTGCTCGCGCAGGCCCTGAGGGCACCTGTGCCCTCCATCTACCAGAGAAGGGGCCTGGCTGAGGAATTGGAACTTTTTAGGTTTCTGTTTATTTATGGGAGCGGCTAGACAGATTTTTTTCATCCTTGGGTCACTCCCCAAATGCCCACAATAGCCAGGGTTGGGCCAGGCCAAAGCCTGCAGCTAGAAACTCAGTTTGAGTCCAACTGCTGCCTCCCAGCGTGCACGTTAGTAGGAGGCTGAAATGGGAAACAGAGCCAGGATTTTAGTCCTGTCATTCCAATATGGCAGGCAGGCATCGGGGAGCAGGGTCGTAACCCCTGCACCAAATACCCGCCTCAGGGAGAGTTGGAATTGTTGTGCAACATCCTACAGAATGTTAGCCAAAGTGGGTAGTGGGTGTGTGCATGCATTGTCTCATTGCATGCTTGCCCCAGCCTCGTGCAGAGAGCAGTGGTTCCCTATTGTGCCTGTGAGGACGCTGATCCTCAGAAAGACTGAGGGGCTCAAGGTCACACAGCCAGCAGGTGGAGATCTGCCTGGGAGTGCACACTGACAACCAGTGGACCAGCCTCCGAGAGCTGCACGCAGCTTCCTGATGCAAGCCGGCTCTGCTTTTCGCATTTGCCAGTGATGGGCACTTTCTGAACAACCCCCTTCTGCACTTTAGCAGTGAATCCCTTACAGGGAAAGGACGTTTGTGGGTATTTTCAGGGGGAGCTTTGGAGACAGGGAGAGGAGCCCCTGAGCAGAGAGCAGGGATGCTGTGATGAAGAGGGAAGAGGCAGCCGACAGAAGCACTGCAGAGAGCAGTCCTTCGAGACAAGCAGAAGCCGTCACTCTGAGACCTGTTGGTGCCCGGAGAGCCAGGGCGCCCCAGATGTTAGGGTCCCGCAGGGTGCCTTACATGGAACTGAGCTGGTGGTGAAATACCAAAGTGATGCCACAGTAGCTAATCCGTGAGCACACAGTATTTCTGATGCAGTGTTTGTCCTTTAAGACGTCTTTGTGACAAAGTAGATATTTGGGGCTAAAGCAGATGACACCAAAGCTAGTCCTGTAACCCTTTACCCGCTCACAACTCTGTGGTATCAGTGTGGTATAAAGTAATTGTTTACCTCCATTTTAATTTTCTAAAGAGAATACTTTGTCTCTCCATGTTAAGCCAGGTACCTTCCTGTCTATTCAGTTTTTTTTTAAACTATTGTCATTTTTCTAAATAGGAGTAATTTCCTCGTTTGAGTGTAAACACAGTGGTTGGGGCCTGCATGGTGACCTGCATTGTGTTTGCAGCTGTCATGTGGATATGAGCAATGATTTACCCGTTCAATGAAAAAGAAAAGAAGGCAGCAGAGAGAAGCTGGAATATTGTGCAGCCCTTGCTGTCAGCCTGCTGTACATCAGGGCACAGGGCTCCAGGGAGGGGCAGAGAGAGCGTGGCGAGTCTTTCCCCTCTGGGTCGTAGATCAGGGCCACCATTGGCCCCTGGAAGGGGCCAGTGTCATGGCAACCTGCTGTCCGCTCCCTGTTGGCTCAGTACCCCCCCGCACTCTCACAGACGACTGTGGCACAGATGCCTGGGACTCAGACGCCTATAGGCCAGCTTATCGATTCCATAATCGGCGGTGTTCACTTGGAGATGTGGAAGACAACGTGTCTTAGCCGCCTTCCCCAACCAGGGGCTGCATCCTCTCCATGTCAGCGTGAGCGGAATTGGGGCCAGGTCCCTTAGGGAGCACAGGAGCCCCAGTACTACAGGGGATTTTCCAGGGAAAATTGTTCTCTGCCTGTGCTTTCAACCTCACAGAAGAAAGTCTTGCCGTAATAGCCAGTCTCCCCTGAGCATTCGTGCCAGCCTGGCAGGGCTGAGTCCTGCTAGCTCGCAGCTACAGCAGGTGGGCCCTGTTGGCGTGCCCGTGTGGGAGGCAAGGAAACAGGTGTCCAGAGTCAGGCAGGACTGGAACCCCGCCGTTTGGCCCACGCGTGGTCTTGGTAAATCCTAAGGAAGTAGCTGTTGAGAGTGTGGCGGGGCGGGGGCAGCTGAGATGGGATTTGCGAGCATGGTTTGATGCTTGTGGGGAGAATTCCGAGGCAAGAAGCTGTTGCGTGGCCCTCCAACGCTGCAAAGTTCTGATGTTTCACAGAGGTCACCGGAAGTGGTCCTGGGAGCAAGGAGGGGGCGTCTCACAGGTCCGTGCAGCCAATCAATGGCAAGGCTGGGTCACAGCCTTCTACGCTGTTTGAAAGAACCGTTCAGGATAAGCGTGTATTTCTAACTTGCCTCTTAGACCGGTGTTGAAGCCATGTCCCTGTGTAGGATGGTTTCCTCTCTGGGACAAGATACTGCCCCGGAATGGTCAGCTCCTCTATCCTGTGTGTGAACCCCAATGCAGCCGTCAGTCATCCGGTCCTGTGCCCTCCTTGGGATTTCTCACACGCAGATTTTCATCCAGCTGCAGTGTGTGGCTTGGAGACCTCTCCTCCTAGGCCGTCAGCTCTTTCAGAGTCAAGGTCATGTTTTACACACTGCACACACACAGTGTGCTAAGACCAAACCATTAAGTTACCAGTTTTTCTTGATTGGGTGAAGTAGGTGGTAACACTGTTTCTGTTTTGTTTGTTTCTAAGCTTTGTAAACTGGCTCAATGTCTATTAAAAATGATGGTGGTGTTGATAAATATAGGACTCTATTAAATTATCGTTTCTAGAAGGTACTCTGTCCTCCACCAGAGACCCTTCTCGATGGTGGTGGGGCCCAGGAGTCTGCCTGGGGCCCAGGTGACTTTTCTGCCCACAGGCGTTTGAAAACACATCCTTTGAAATCACAGCATCTGTGACGTACCAGTTCTTGCCACTCGCTGTAAAGATGTGCAATTCAGAATGTCTCCCAGACACGCATGGGCGCATCATCATACGGTGCTGTTTTTCCTGCAGATTTATCACCAGCATGATGCTGGGGCGAGAGGCCGGCACCCACAGTTTTCAGAATGGCTGAGCTGGATGCTGACTTGGACCACATCATTCCGTCTTCCCTGCTTCCCCCCGTCTGGGCTAAGTTAGTAGTGGGATTTGTTTCCCTCCTGTGTTTTGCACGGAGCTATGATGGAGACTTTGTCTTTGACGACTCGGAAGCTATTGTTAACAATAAGGTTTGTATCTCAACCCACTCAAGGTATACTAACATTAACCACTCCCTTGTGTCTCAGGAATTACCCAGGTTGGTATTGAATTCTTCTCTGTTAAACTTCAGTGTTTGCCAGGGCCGTGGTTGTGTGGCCATGGTTCCCATCTCTTTTCAATATTTCTCCTGAATTTAGTACGCCTCTTATTGCAGGCAGTGGGGTCTGCAGCCCCTACCTACCCTCATGAAGCCCCAGTCTTATGACTCAGACTTTGCAAAGATTACAAGGCAAGGCTGTCACAAGGCGCCGAAGACAGCAGCTCAGGTTTTGTGAGAAAAAAAAAATCCTAGAAATCTAAAAGGAGAAGAAAGTCTCAGGTTTGCCGCCGTGATGGCTGAGCCAGTCCCCCGCTGGACGGTGTGCCCTCGGCCGCAGGCAGCCGGCAGCTGCTGCTTTGTCCCTGGGGAGAGGCAGGCCAGCCTGTGCCAGCCGCCAGGCACGGGTGGTGCTGCGCCTCCCGCCCGCTTCGTGTTTAGAGACCCAGATTTGCTGACTTTGCAGAACCCCAGTTGGTTTTGCTCACCAGTGGCTGCTGTGTGGATGCAGGGAAAAAAGATGTTCTTTTCCATTCACTCTCGGGAGTTAGAGAAGAAGAAATTGGTTTACGGGAAGGGAAGAAAAAGACTCAAGGGAGCCAAAAGGAAAATCAGAACAAGAAACTCAGAGGCAGGGAAGGCCCAGAGAAGAAGGAACTCGGAACTGGCGCAGGTTAGGGCCTTGGTGACCGTCTGATTACTCGGCCGACGTTTGATGAATGTCCCTTAACCAGTGAAGAGGACCTGAAGAGGTCCAGTGATCTGTCTCTCTGAGACACAGAGCTGTAGCAGCTCCTTGCAATGAATGCCCTTAGAGATGGGAAGTCTCGGATCCCCGCTTCAATTTCATATTGGAAATGCTGACCACAGCTCTCTGTGCAAGAAGCCTGCCTTCTGTTTGTGGGTGGGGGTGGGGCTATGCCCTGTGGACATTTTACTTATCATACAATTATTTATTTATTTGAAAAGCAGAGCTGCAGAGAGAAAAGAGAGGTCTTCTGATCACTGGTTCATTCCCCAAATGGCCCCACCAGCCACAGCTGGACCAGGCTGAAGCCAGGAGCCAGGAACTCCCATCCTGGTCTCCTACTTGGTTGGCAGAGGCCCAGGCACTTGAGCCATCTTCTGCTGCTTTCCCAGATGCGTTAGCTAGGAGCTGGATCAGGAGAGGAGCACTCACGGAATGGGGTGTCGCAGGTGGCCGCTTTACCTGTGTCTGCACCGCAGCGCCTGTCCCTGTCATGAAACACTTAGAGTACTGTCACAGACCTCCGTTGTCATGGCACAGGCTAGCGCGTCCTCGATGTTTATTTTCAACTCAGGTTCTTGTAACTTTCTTCAGGTTCACATGGAAGTTGCTGTAGATGATTCACTTTCAGTTCTTTTTTTTTTTTTTTTTTATTTTTCTGACAGGCAGAGTGGACAGTGAGAGAGAGACAGAGAGAGAAAAGTCTTCCTTTGCCGCTGGTTCACCCTCCAATGGCCGCCGCTGCAGCCGGCGCACCGCGCTGATCCGATGGCAGGAGCCAGGATCCAGGTGCTTTTCCTGGTCTCCCATGGGGTGCAGGGCCCAAGCACCTGGGCCATCCTCCACTGCACTCCCTGGCCATAGCAGAGAGCTGGCCTGGAAGAGGGGCAACCGGGACAGAATCCGGCGCCCCAACCGGGACTAGAACCCGGTGTGCCGGCGCCGCAAGGTGGAGGATTAGCCTATTGAGCCACGGCGCCGGCCATCAGTTCTTTCTTTAAGCCATCCTTTAAAAAAAGAAGCAACTCTGATCAGCCGTGTCAAATGGATGGCTCAGGAGCCGCGGGCTGGCTTTTCCAACAAGGATACAGCCCTGTTTCAACAATTCCATCAAGCATTTTGGTGTGAAGTGTTAATCCAGCGCAGGCAGGACAGAAACGGGAGCTGGGCGGGGGGAGGGGAGGGGCACATGGGTCGCCCTGGTGTGTGGATGGGGTTCTGGGCACCTCTGGGTGCAGTGAGGCCAGGGAAACCTTCCCGGGGCTCTGTTGAGCGTGGTCTTGGCAGGGCTGTGCAGAGCTTCGCACTGTGCCCGCTTTGTGAATGCGTCCGCCCGCCCCTGCGTGCCTGTTGAATGAAAGGCAGCCCTCGGCTCCCTGGCACCGGGCCCGCGGCAATGTGAAACAGGCTGTTATGGGCTTCAGTGGTGTCACGGACTGTTTGCCAGATGCTTCCTTGTGCTGTGGAGTTGTCTTTTTGTTCCTTGAGATGGTGATCTTTGCGCCAGTGGAGTGAGGAGGAATTTCGGACACACGTGACATCTTCATAAATAATGGGGAAAAGTGGGCGTCCCTATGGTGGCACACCCTGCTGCGTGTCGGCTACACCTGATCAAATATTTAGAGCTTTGTTGTTGGTGTCCATTTACTGTTCAAAAGGAGGGAAAGAGCCTTCACACGGCCCCGTTCTGTCTCCGAGTTCACAAAGTTAGGGAGCAGGTGCATTGTGTGACCCTCAGGGGATATCTGACCTGCTCTGGGGTAGGGGCTGGTCAGTACACTCAAGAACTCTGAAGTGGATCCCAAATGGAAATGCAGGTCACCCTAACAGTGGCTATCAGGTGACCACTCTGCGTCTGTCACCCCTTCTCAGGCCCCTCCTGAAGCCAGTAAGCTTGCAAGCAACAAGTTGGGAACTCCACGTGCATCTGGGACCTTGTTGCTCCTGGGGACCAGGCACTGTTTGGCCCATCTCTTCTGTTTGGGTCACTAGCGTGTGTTCAGAAGAGGGGCTGATTGGGAAGATGGCACAGACTTGGGCTTTCCCTGCAGGCACACCCAGCTCTTGGGGTCAGGAGCGAGGCACACAGAGGTGGGGTCAGGAGATGGCCAGGCAGCCGGTGGTGTGGTTGGTGGGCAGGCTTCTCGCTGACAGCCCCAGCCTGGATCTGTAGCCACCAGAGAGTCTGTGAGCCTGAATTTGTGCTTCAGAGATTCAGTTTGTTTGGTTACTGTGAGGCAGAATCTCCAGGGGTAAGATTGGGGGAAACTGAATGTATCCTCACTTCTAGTCCCTAAAATATTTATTCTGCTTAAAAGAGAAAATTAGTAATCATTTTTGTTAAGTACACCAAAGTGCCTTGACTTTCACCAGTTTGTCATCTGGTTTTATATTTTAAACCTTGAAAAGACGCATTTTTAAGTGTCTGAAATTCAGTACCAAATTAAGTGATCCCAGCAGTAGGCTAGGCATAGCTTTCTAATATCTCATGGTTTTGGGGGCCGGCACTGTGGTTGTAGCAGGTAGGGCTACCGCCTGTGCATCCCATGTGGGCGCTGGTTCATGTCTGGTTGCTCCCCTTCTGATCCAGCTTCCTCTAATGGGCCTGGGAAAGCAGCAGAAGATGGACTAGGTACTGGGCCCCTGCACCTATGTGGGACACCCAGGAGAGGCTTCTGGCTCCCGACTTTGGGTCAGCCCAGATCTGGACATTACAACCATTTGGGGAGTGAACCCGTGGGTGGAAGGCCTCTGTCTCTCTCTGTAACTCTGCCTTTTAAATAAATAAATAAAATCTATTTCAGAAATTTAGTGATTTTTTTTATCTTTTAAAATTACATGAGAGGGTTTTCCCCAATTTCACAATCTGCTTAACTCATGATTAAAAATGGAAAACTTTAAAATAGGTGTTTATCCATACTTATGTTTAAATTTGGATATTTTAGGCAAACTACATCATTGGATATGAGAGATTATTACTGACATTTGGCTGTGTGGTCTGTTCATTCATTCAGCATGCATTAACCATTATACTCCTGGCAAACTCGGATGTGTCCCTGGCCTTGTGCTGAGTACTGTGTGTGCAGGTGCAGGATGCCCCAAGACCCATGAGAGGGGGTGGGATGGTTGGGATGTGGACAACTACAGGAGCCAAGTTGGGGGAGTTGAGGGTGACCAGCTGTCCGGGAGATACCTGCACCTGCAGAGTCTTTGGGGGGGAGCCTGGAGGGGCACAGTCAGCAGGGGACCACCTTGGGCAGTGGTGGCCCCCTCAGGATATGGGTTTTGTCCCAGGAGAGTGAGAAGCTATTGTAGGGCGAGTGGGGTGGGCTGAGCCTGTATGCATTTTGAAACGATGGGCAGAGAGGACACATCAGAGGCACACAGGCTGCTGGGAAGCCTGACTGTGTCCTCTGTGGGAGACCCTGGGTGTGGCCCAGCACTGGCCGGAGAGCTGGAGCGAGGTGGGCGGATTGGAGAGCTCTGAGGGACTTCGAAGGCGCAGGGTGGATGACGGCTTCACACAGGGGGCCGGGGAGGAGGAGTGGTGATTGCTTCGTCCACAGCGTCCTCTGCCGTGTCCCTGCAGGACCTCCGAGCGGAAACGCCCCTGGCCGACCTCTGGCTTCATGACTTCTGGGGCAGTCGACTGAGTAGCAACACCAGCCACAAGTCCTACCGGCCCCTGGCCGTCCTGACGTTCCGGTGAGACTGGCTGCGTCTGCGGGCGGGAGGGTGGTCTGATGCGTGCTGGGAGGCTGGGGGTGCCCAGGGTCCCGTGCTGGGGCGTGCAGCCAGGGGCTCCTGCGGGGGGCACCAGCCACCCTGTGTATGCCCCACCCCCAGGTATGTGCTGACCTGCCGCCACCAGGAGCAGGCAGGCCCAGGGAGACTGAGGTAGTGCATGAGGGGCCGGCTTTGGCGTGTTCAGCTCACAGCCGCAGGCCCACGCTGCCACCGGGTAATGTCACAGCGCGCGGCTCGAGGCCAGTGCGCACAGCTGAGAGCCTCCTCGCCTCTCGGTTCTGGAAGGTTCTACCCTTCATCAACCCTGGCGGAATGATATCAGGGGCCTTCGCAAAGTTCACGGAGGGGGTTCCGGCTTTGGACAGCTGGTTAAGCCGCCGCTTGCGCTGTGGCATCCCCTTCAGAGTGCCAGTGCCTGCTCCACTTTGGATCCAGCTCCCTGCAGATGGCCTAAGTGCCTGGGTCCCTGCCACTCACACAGGAGACCCAGGTAGAGCTCCTGTGGTCGGCCTGGCCCAGCCATGGCAGTTGCAGCCATTTGGGGAGTGAGCCAGCAGATGGAAGATTCTCTCTCTCTCTCTTGCCCTTTCAAATAAGTAAATCTTAAAAAAAAAAAAAAAAAAGTCATAGAAAATAGATATTTTGAAAAAAAAACTATGCGTGCATTTCAAGAATTTTTCACCCAAAAAAATACTTTTTTTTCCTTGACAGTCAGAACTCTGATCTGCTGGTCCATTCCCCAAATGCCCACAAGGGTTGGGTCCAAGCCAGTCTGAAGCCAGGAACTGAGAACTCAATGCAGGCCTGCATTGTGAATGACAGGAACCCAGTCATTTGAGCTGCCCCTGCTGTCTCCTGGAGTCTACCTTAGCAGGAGCCGCCACTGGGTAGTGACCCAGGTACTCTGATGTGAGAGGCCTGCTCTAACTTAGCTTTTCATTCCAGTTTTTTCCATGAACTGTTTGAGTCGGAGCAACATAGCACCTCATGGATTTTTTTTTTTCATTACGAGAAGAAGATAGGAATCTTCTCACTCTCTCCAAGTGGTTATATAAAACCGGCATGGTGCTTGAGGAGGATCTCTCCCCTGCCACTGTTCCTGCGGGAGTTGTTGCGTTGAGTAGATGAATTTGCCTTGCAAAGCTTCTCGCCGATGCTTCTCCAGTGCGTTTAAATGCCTGTGTGTAGCTGTCTCAGACAAGCACTGATGAATGGCAAACCACCCACAGGAAGAAGCAGCCCAAAATCCCTGACAGCAAGAAGGTGTTTTGTTGGGTGGAAGACTGTTCGGCTTACTGTTGAAGAACACGTTTTGGGTGGCTTAAGCAAGTTACGCAACTGTCTTAATTAAACCCAGGCCCCTGTGGGTAGTAGCATGGGTGATGTCTGGCATATCACATCATCTTGGAAGGCAGCCTTGCCTCTTTTGCACTGAAAAAAATGGCCTGGCCTTCCTTTGAGCTTTGCTGCTTCCTTGGGTCTGTGCTTCCCTTCCATTCCCTCGCCCCCGCCCAAGTTGATTATACCCACACCTTTTTTTCAGCCTCCGTAGCTTGACAAGAGTTATTAGCTGGGCGCTGTTTTTACCAATCAGGCATAGTCTTACTCTTCTTTTAATGTTTTCATGCCCAAGCCTCTCCCTCCAGACAGCTGCCTTTCCATGCCATGTGCTTCTGCACACTGAGTGCGAGCGTCCCGTGTTTGCTGCAGGTTGAACTACTATCTGTCCGGAGGCTTCTACCCCGTGGGTTTCCACGTGGTCAACATCTGCCTGCATGGAGGCATCTCTGTCCTCATGGTGGACGTCTTCTCCGTGCTGTTTGGTGGCCTGCAGTTCACCAGCAAGGGCCGGAGGGTGCACCTGGCCCCCAGGGCCTCCCTGCTGGCTGCGCTGCTGTTTGCTGTCCATCCGGTGCACACCGAGTGCGTAAGTATCGCCTGTCTTGGCATCCGTAGGGGGTGGCAAGGCAACCGTGTGCAGATACTGGAGCGCTCTTTCTAGGGCAACGCTGCCTTCCCTGTCGGTGGAGACTTTGTAGCAGGAAAGGCATGGTCTGCTCCCCGCGGTGCTCCCTGTGAGGACTGCTCCAGCTGTGAGGGCTGGATTGCCTGGCTCTGGCATCTAAAGGCCAGAGGCTTAGAACTGTTGGCAGTCTCAGCAAATCTGCTGAGAACATTAGGATTTACAGAATGCTTTCTTAACACGATCCTCGTGAAAGGCTTGGAGCTAATGTGACAAATTCTGCTTTACAGCTAGGGAAGTGGGCTGGGCGGTGATTAGAGGACTCAGCCTGGGTCTGCAGCTGCCGATGCAGGCAAGGACCTAAATTCTGGGCTACTGAAGCCATGCTCGAGAGACAACCTTGGAGTTGGATGGGAAAGTGGGTGCCCTCCCCTGCTGGGGAGCTGCTCTTCAAGTCTCCCCACCTCCTCCCACTTCTCATCTTTGTCCCCCTCCCTGCTCCCTCCCCTCCCTGCGGGTCCCCCTCCCCTCCCTCGACCCTCTCCTCTACTTTTCCTCCTGTTCCTCCTTCTCCCCACCCCTAGTTTTATCTTCTTCCCCTTAAGGGACTTAGGCTGAGGGATGGGTACCTCTCCTGTTGCACCAGCGGCTGCTGGATGTGTGTTTGGTGCAGACAGGGTTGGGATATAACTAGGCTTCCGTGAGGTTTTCAGCGGCCGCCCACGGAAGATGTGGTGTTTGTGGTAAACCTGGCCTGTGCTCCATTCTGTCACGGCAGACTCCTGCATCTAGCATGCGCTTAAGTGCCTCCATTGGGCAGATTGTCGTTTTGAGCGTCTTGAAGTAAGTTGCAAGATGCTGAGCAGAATGACTGCTGTTAGCGTCTGCTTCTGTCAGACTCTGTGGTCTTTGGAATCAGTAGTTTGAGAGCTGTTACCACAACCCTGATCCCTTCTTTTTTATGTTTTACTTAGGGCTTGAGAGGGTATAGACTGATGTAAAAACTTCGTTAAAAGCTCTTTATTTATGTGTAACTGTGACTGAATTAGGCTTTGCTTCAGTTCGAGTTCTCTGGAGGCTAAATGTTTGCTGGGACCCAGAAATGGTGCACCCATTGCTCCTATGTAAGGAATCTCTGGAGGAGTACTGTTCACTGTTTTGCCGCTATCTGATTGAGCATGATCTTAAAAGAAAAATATTTGAATTATTAGCCAAAGAAGGTTTTCGAAAATGCTGATTTTATGTGTTGTAAAGCTGTCTTTAAAAGGTTTAAGTGCCCACAGCATAACTAGATATGGTTACACACACACACACACACACACACACATCAGGTAAATGCAATATGGGACCATGTTAATCTTAAAACCCCACATTCGAGTGCTTTTTTATTATTATTATTTTGAAGGCTCATTTATTTATTTGAGAGGTAGAGTTACAGAGGTCTCCCATCGCTGATTCAATCCCCAAACTGCCACAGTGGTGGGAGCCAGGAGCTTCCTTCAGGTCTCCCACGTGGGCGCAGGGGCCCAAGCACCCGGGCCATCTTCCACTGCCTTCCCAGGCCATAAGCAGGGAGCTGGATCGGAAGAGGAGTAGCCGGGACAGGAACCAGCACCCATTGGCATGCCAACTACACTACAATGCCGGCCCCTGCATTCGAAATCTTTAAAAGGAAACTGAGGCAGGTCTGGCCATAGAGGTGGGAATATTTGAACACTCTTCTGCTCTCTCGTCTGCATTCTGTGACAGCCATCCATCCCCACATGTGAAGAGACAGTTATCAATCATGAAAAATCGGCATTCTAGGAGATGTTTCATCCGTTTACCTTTCATTATCTCGGCAAATAATAGTCAGTTTACTCTTAGCATCATTCCTCTGATAGCTCCCATTCTGCAGTTTTTAATTCCAGCTTTGAAAACACAAAGAGCAGGGTCCCCGAGAAAGCAGCTGCAGGCCAGCTCCGGGCTGGTGTCCTGCCAGCTCCCAGGAGGCAGCGCAGGTCCCTGGTGTGGGCCAGGCGTGGACGCAGCATCCCCAGTGAGTATGCTGGTCCCTGTGAGATGAGGCCGGTGGGGATGTGGCAGCGTGAGCCCTGTGTGGCGTCTCTGCCACGTTTTCCAGGTGACCGGACACCCAGTGGGCTCTGAAGGACTCCCTGTGTCCATGGCAGGGGGGAGGGGCAGGCAGAGCAGGATAAGTCTGTGGTCCTTGGGCTGGCCCCTCCTGGTGGGTGGGGACCTCGCTGTCGTCAGGGTCCTTGGCTCCTCACCTGAAAGGACGTCCTTTGGTCCCTCTGGGTTGTTTGTGGGTGAGTAAGCTTTGTGACAGGCCAGGCCCCGCTGCAGGGAGGAGCTATCCAGCTGTCCACTTGGGCAGCCACTGCTCTGTGGGTGCCCCAGGAAGGAGGCCCCGGCGTTCCCTGAGGGCACCTCAAAGCATTGGTGGCGACTTCCACGTTGTCCTGATTCCAGTATCTAAGGCGGGAGGTGGGGCCCCCTTAACGGTTCTGCCATTTGAAGACCCCAGACCCTAATGCAGAGGGGAGTGGGTGGGGAACCCCCAACCCCTGATCCTTCTCGGGGCACCTGTGCTAGCTATGGGCAAGCAAGGAGGCCTCTGCTTTGTGGATTCAAGGGGTCGCACTGCTGGCTGCACGTAGCCCCTGCGCGAGTGTTAGGGGTTATCTGTGAGAAAGAGCAGAGCCCTATGGAGAGCTTTGCCTGAAAAATTGCATTATGCAAACACAGGAGAGAAAGAGAACCTGTCCTTGCCCATGCCCATTCTCCAGCCTGGTTGCGTGCAGTCCCTCCCCGGACAGCCTTGTCATGTTTTTACTACGGAATTTCTCCTTAATGACTGTGCCAACAATTTGCTTTAAAACATGTATCATATATATCAAAATTTATTTTTCTTTATGTCAGACAATGTGATATGCATTGCTTAAATACACGGGACTCTCTTCAACGCTTAATAAAAATCATTTCCTTTAAAATCAATGTATGCCGTTTAAAGTTCTCTTCTGTGCAGTCCTTCACGTGTATCTCAGCTCCCCACGTGAGTGGTCCTGGGGCTGGCGTTGAGGTACAGCAGGTTAAGCCACCACCCGCTATGCTGGCACCCCATACGGGCTCTAGTTTAGATCCCGGCTGTTCCACTTCCAGTCCAGCTCCCTGCTCATGGCCTGGGAAAGCAGCAGAGGATGGCCCACGTGCTTGGGCCCCTCTTACCATATGGGAGACCTGGAGGAAGCTCCTAGCTCCTGGCTTCTGCCTGGCCAAGCCCTGGCCATTGTGGTCATTTGGGAAGTCAACCAGAGAATGGAAGATCTCTTCCCTCCTCTCCCCTCACCCTTCTCTCTCTAACTCTGCCTTTCAAATAAATAAACAGATCTTCAGACAGGCTGGCCCCGTCCCTGGTGTCTGTCCAAGCCGCTTCTTTCCCCGTCACTGCTTTCCGGCACCCCCACCTCTTTGGTGCCCTTGGACGAGCTGCTCGGGAGTGGCTCTGCTTTCTGTGTGCGAGGGGCTGGGACTGCAGGTAGGCGCTGTGGATGGCCAAGATGCTTCTCGCACCTCTCATCATCCTGGTGGTGGAAGGACCCCGGAGCCAGGACCCCCAGCTGCTAACTCACTCAGCCCCTGATGTGTGCTTTCTGCTCCTGTCCGCAGAAGACCCCTAGCCACAGCCCCGCCACGGTCAGGCTGTGTTCTGCAGGCTGCCCCCCTTGGTGTGTTATTGACCCCCCAGTGCCCCCGAGTTCTCCCTCAAAAGTTTGTTTTAAAGCTCTATTGTATTTATTAGAAAGAGTGACAGAGAAGGAGAGAGCTTCCATCTGCTGGTTCACTTCCTAAATGACTGTGACCTTCGCAGCTGGGCCAGGCTGAAGCCAGCAACCTAGACCTCCATCCGGGTCTCCTACATGGGTTCAGGGGCCCAAGCACTTGGACCATCTTCTGTTGTCTTCCCAGACTCACTAAAAGGAGCTGGATTTTAAGGGGAGCAGCCGGGAATTGAACTGGTGCTCATATGAGATGCGCAGCATTGTAGGCATGGGCTTACCCTGCTGTGCCACAGTGCCAGCCCCAGATTTCAAGCCTTTTGGCACCAAAATAACTGTTCTTGTAATTTCTCTTTTCCATGAGCTTTCTGAAGTACCCTGTATAGCCAGGGTTGGGGAGAAGCTGCTCCTTTGAGGCTGCTTTTTTAGCTATTAATCGCACATGCACTTAAGAATCACAAGTCATTCTCATAAGCGTTGCATGTTTTTGTATGTTAAAGTTTTAAAAACGTTTTTATTTTCAACTGAAACATAAAAGTTACACATTTGTGGGTTATCATGTGCTGTTACAGTACAAGGGCACATTGTGTGATGTCCAGGTGGGGGCCAACAATTCCTGTGTAGTCTCTCCACTGGCAGAATAGTCCTTTATCCTGCTCCACACTCATCCCATGAGTGTCCTTTGAGAAGAGATTTAGCTCCCAGTCTTTAAAGCAGTGTCTGGAGTCGCCTGTCCCATTGCATACCAGTTAGGAAAGCACCCCCCCCCCACACACACACACACATACCGGGTCAGTACCCGTGGGTAGAATTCTGTGTCTTCCATTGCCACGTGATTGTTTGCAGAACCAACATTGGAGCCATGAGCCGGAAAGAAAGAAACAAATTGTGAATTACTTCCTGAACACCAAGAGAGAAAGGAAGGGCAGTCATCACATGCAAAACAGGGGAAATGAGTGGAAACTGCATCCTGTGGTCATCTTACTTATTAATCGCTCTCAGCGTCTTCTGCTGCGCAGGTCAACCTGCATCTTCAGCTTTGGTCCCTAGGGAAGATGAGTTAGCAAAGGCAGCCGGGGAGGAGTATTCCTGTGGCTTTTCTGTCTGCCTTGTAGCTTTTACCACCTGCTTCCCACCTGTATGTCCTTCATTTCCAAACAAATTTTCTAAGTATCGTGCCCTTCCTTTGAGCCGATGACATTTTCCAAGTCCAAGTCCCCTTTGGGGACCTCAGAAGCCAGAGTCTCTGGAGCTAATGGGTGCAGTGTGCTAAACAACACAGCTTCCATCGCACACGTGTGTCCTGCTCTCCGTGCGGCTTGCAGAATGGCTGTTGGCCGGTGCAGCCCAGACTGCTTTCCGCTTGGAAGTCAGTGAAGTCCTAGACCTTAGGACTAACGAGAGACGAAAGCCAGTTGTAGTGAACATCCCAGGCTTGTGGCGGGGTCTGGTGAGTTTCTCCTTTGCTATGTCTAAGGCATGTTCAGTATTTCCTGGGCTGAGGATTTGCTCAAATGTTTTTGGCGTAACTCTCTCTCTCTCCCCCTTCTCCCAAGGTTGCCGGTGTCGTCGGCCGCGCAGACCTGCTATGCGCCCTCTTCTTTCTGTTGTCTTTCCTCGGCTACTGTAGAGCGTTCAGAGAAAGTAAGCATGATGTTTGCCTTCTTAATGTCCCACTTCTCCGTGCTCTTGTCCCGCAGTGTTGTAAGAGATGGGAAAGATAAATTGACCGCTGTGAAGGGTGGGGGCGGAGGAGTCCACTCTTTGGAGCTATGTGTTTATGCCATTGCTTTGTTTGTGATGCGAAGTTTCCGCTTGGTAATGCAAACTTCCTGTATAGGTGTCCAGATGGAGGGAGGGAGGGAGGCTGCTGGCCGGCGGTGAGGCCCGGAGCACAGGCCAGAGCACAGGCAATAGCAGAACTGTTGTCGCACTTGCGATTGTGTTTTGGTACTCTAACTTCCAGCAAGACTGTTGTGGGTCAGGCTGGGCTGTAGTGATAATCTCTGCCTTTGTGGTCCAGCCGCCCCTCCTTGGTTTCCAGGGCTGGATTGGAAAGGGCCCATGAGTGTTTCCATCTTCTACCCCTTCCCCATACCCTCCTAGGAGCTGTGCCCAGGCTGTGTGTCTTGGAGCACCTGTTCCCTCACACCTCTGCCGCCACTAAGACGTGTCCAGTGCTTACCTAGGACTTGAGTGCACCCACTCTTTGGTTATGTTTATTTTATCCAAGCCCCCACTTGTTTTTGTGACAGAAGCTGATTCATCAGAACTGACTCATCAGTTTTCTGACAGATCACGGGGACAGCTGGATTGAGCAGCTTCAAGTATGGAAAACAGTGGTGGCAACTTTTCTTGCTGAGACTGAAAGTTAATTTAGCCGTAAGGCGCGCCCATCCCCTCCTGGGTGGGGGTCTCCCCATCTGTGATGGGCATCTCGGGAGGTTGCAGCTGCCCCAGCCCCGTATTGAGTCAGTACCATCGTGTGGGGATGGAGGACAGGGTCCGTAATCAACAGTACTACATCATGATCGAAAGCGGGGAGTTAAATCTGCACTTGCAGATACAGAGAATAGCATTTTCTCAGCAGTTGTATTTTTTTCTTGAAGACATTTAAAACTTAAGTCTTGTGGCCTTTTTCAAAGACAACGCGACAGTTTCGTGAAGTGTTTTATTAATTTAACACATCCTCCCTCAAAGTCACAACTCCCTATGCTCAGTGGATTTCAGAGACATCAGAAGTGGTTTTTTGAAGCGAGTACTAAATGTTGTTGGATTTAACATGTAAGAGACATCATTTAGGAGACTTAATAGACCCTCTCAGTGCTTTTAAAGATTGCTCTTTAAATAATGGAAAATGAAGTAATGGGAAAATGACCATGAGGCGTGAAAGCTTCAGTCACGTGAACAGAAACCTTCCTTCTCCCAGAATGGAGAAAAGCTAAAGACATTTTATATTCTTTTTCTGGTTCTTTTTGGTAACCTTCCCTCTGTTCCAGGTCAGAGATGCATATATTCTGTCATATGCGCCTGATTATAATTCACCTGCATATTATAAAATTATTTCCAGGAGCTTTTTATCCATACAAAGATAAATTTTTATAAAGCTCTGGAAGCCAAAGGTCAGGATGCTTAAATATGTGATGATTTATCAATTAATACTTTGATTCATGAGAAATTGGTGAAGGATATCTCAGTACTGACATATAAAGGGTCTTGAGAAATTCATGGAAAATATGTAGATTAGAAAAAAAAGCCATGCATGGATTTTTTTTTCAGCAAAATGAACATTTTTTAATTTGGTTTTTCCATGAACTTGAAGTACTTTTGTGTATTAACAAGAAGTAAGAGCATGACCTTCTTGATCTGGGAACCTTCTTTTTGCATTTAAAGTATGTTTGCTTTAGGGTTGGAAAGAAACAATCAGACCTTTAAGATTAAGTTGGTAAATGTTTTTGAGAACGTTCCCTGGGAAGTTTTTAATGTTTGCACACCAACAGCAGTGACAGGCACAGTTTGTGTAGAAGCCCTTTAAGGCCTGAATGGGTTTCCATTTAGCTGAAGTCACCTGGACTAGTTGCATGGATAGATGAGGAAGCCTTTGAAGAAGGCTTTTGCTCGGCCTCTGGTCTGCAAGCTGCCCCTCTTCCTTGGACTTGGTCTGCTGTTAGCCTGAACCCTCTTTAAAGAACGGAAAGTGGAGCACACAGAGTCCCCCAGCTCGGTCTCTGGTCCTTTGTGATCACCAACTGCTTATTTGGTCTTTGAAAAATACGGAGCTGTGTGGTTTGCTCCACACATCCACCCAGCCTGCAGGAGTCTTGACCCTGAATGTCATTGTTGGCCATGAACTTCTCTGTCCTTTGGTCCTCTAACTCTATCCACCTGCTCAGGCAGGCTTTGAGTTGTAGATCGTCACAGTTCTTTCTTAGATGTTTAAGGTGGTTGGTTTGCGACTCCTAACCCAGTGTGGTTATTCTGAGTTGGTATCCCCTACTATTGCCTGTCCCCATTCGTGGTTGCCCGTCACAGTCTATGGACAGCATGATTGAACTCTGTCTAGGCATGGAGGTGCAGAACAGCCTAGATCCTCAAAAAATGGCCTTAGACACTCTGTGGTTAGCTTCACTGGGTTGTGTCCTATGTCCCTGACCCCTCACCAGGCAGGTGAGCCCCACCTCTCTCACTTCAGGGCCTTGGGAACTAATGTCCAGCCCCCTGCCCCACCAGAGGGCACTAGATCTGCCCGTCCTTCTGCCAGCTGCTCCCTCACAGCTCCTAAACCCTCCTTGGTTTAATTACTCCCTGAACCAGTGCTGACAGAGGCTGGTGGAGCCTGTCCCAGTCTCTGCTGACAGAGGCACTGTGTTCAACTCTCCTCTGTTTCTGAAGTTCTCTGCTCATATTTTAAACATACCATGAGCAGAACAGGCTTCACTGCTTACTCTTAATAATCCTTAAACATCACATTCAGCTTTTATCTTTTTTTTTTTTTAAGCTTTATTTTATTGATTTGAAAGACAGTTACAGAGAGAGATATAGACCGAGAGAGGACTTCCATCCTCCGGTTCACTCCCCAGATGGCCGCAATGGCTGGAGCTGCACCTCTCTGAAGCCAGGAGCCAGGAGCTTCTTCTGGGTTTCCCACATGGGTGCAGGGGCCCAAGGACTTGAGCCATCTTCCACTGCTTTCCCAGGCCATAGCAGAGAGCTGGATGGGAAGCGGAGCAGCCGGGACTAGAACCGGCGCCCATATGGGATGCCGATGCTTCAGGCCAGGGCATTAACCCGAGGCACCACAGTGCCGGCCCCCACATTCAGCTTTATACATGTGCTACCCAAGAGCCTTTTTAGTTTCCACAAACTAAGAATACCTTCACAGGAAAGGAGCAGTTAAGAACCACGTGTACAAAAACGTTTCTGCATAAGGCATTTCTGTCTCCATTTTTACATTACTATAGCGAAATGCCTGAGGCTGGCTACTTTCTAAATCAGAGTGCGTTTAGTGCAGTTTGGAGACTGAGAGTCCAAGATGAAGTAGGTCATCCATTTGGCCTCTGGGTGTCTGGCAGAGAAGCCAGAAGGGAAGTGGCCACATGCAGAAGGGGACTCGCTTTGTAACAGCTCATAGACATTAACAGGGGTCCCTCGGGAGCTGCATTCTTGTGCCAGCCTGCAGCACAAAGAACCGGGTTTCCTGAAACAGAGTGGGAATGCGGGGACAAGGACGCAAAGAATGGAGCCAAGACAAATCCTGATCAAGGCTCGTTTATTCAACAAATCCAGTAGTATTTAAACATGACCAGTTGTATACAAGAAGGCACACAAAAGATTTACATATCCAAAAGACTTTTGGGGTTACAAAGAGTTCCTGCTTAACAGATCACAAAATGTTATCAATCATTGATTACAAGGGTATAATAAAACACATAGGTGATAAATGCAGGTTTCAGGTGTGGCTGATTATCTACATCATCTCTTGTGAGAAGTCTAGCAGTGAGATACGGTTCTTCTGCCTCTTTCTGGAATCTCCTTAGCCTTTTGTCTGTGCCAGGATGTCTCCATCCATGTGTTTAAGTGTAAACAAGAGGGGCGACTGCCTGTGGCTGCCCACACACTCGTCTCTTCCAAGGACAGCTCCCAGAAGCAACTAATCACTCTCCAGCAGGCCACAGCTCTAAAGGGTGCTGTCACCTCCCAGCACCGCCCTGAGCTTCACACAGGTGAACCTGGGGGAGAACCCACAGCAGTAGTTACAGCAAGATGCCCTGGTTCTGTGCTCAACCAGCATGAGGCTTATCAGCATTGGTCATTAATTCTGACTCTTAGCGATTAAATAGGAGTGTTTCCTGCCCCAGGCCCTGTGTCCAGTGTTGGGGATACAGAAGAGCAAAGTCCCTGCCTGTGAGGACATCCAGTCTAGTATGTTTTGATTAAAATGTCCGGGGGCCAGCATTGTGGTATAGTGAGTTAAGCAGCCACCTGCAATACTGGTGTACCATATGGACACCAGTTAAAGTGCTGGCTGCTCCAACTCCCATCCAGCTCCCTGCTAATGTGCCTGGGAAAGCAGCAGAAGATGGCCCAAGTCCCCGGGCCCCTGCACCCACGTGGGAGACCCTGATGAAGCTCCTGCCTCCTGGCTTCAGCCTGGCCCATCCCTGCTATAACAGCCATCTAGGGAGGTAAACCAGTGGATGGAGGATCTGTCTCTCCTCTTTCTCTGTAACTGCCTTTCTAATAAATAAAACGCCCATTACTCAGAACGCCTGAAGAGGTGCATGCCTGGTTCCGTGTACAGCCTGGGAGGGGTTTGTTCCCTGTCCCCGCGTGCCCGCAGGCTCTGAGTCAGTGTTTGCTGCTTGCCCTGGTGTGCTTACTCAGAGCCGGTGTCTGGCCTTTGTGCTTCGGTTTCTTTGACCTTTGCGTCACTTCCGTCAGTTGGACAGAGCAGAGCCCTTCACACGAATGGACATCCAGCTATACAGGTTTTCATTTGGAGTCTGAGAAAGGCTAATAAATAATCATATTTTTATTTTCTCCATCTAGCCAGCACCGGCCTGCAGAAAGCTGAGTGGTAAACTCGTGTATTTATTGTCCTTGCACTGATGGTTTCTTACTCTAATCGCCCTTGTTTCTAAATG